TCCAGGTCATCATCGTTGTCGGTATCTCGATCATAATCAGCCTGCTCCATGTTGACATTATCTGGTTGTTGAGAGGCGGATGGATTCTCATCGACGACCTGCTCCATGGGGCAGTCGGATGTCTCATCTTCCTCATCACGAGCAGGGGATTCCTTCAAAGGAGATGCCCGTCTCTTCACCAGCGGCTTCGGCGAAGGAGCCGCAGTGCTGGGTTGTCCGAAGATCATGTTGAGAATCGGCATGTCTTCGAGGTGATCAAGCATACACGATTGCAAAGGTCGGAATGGTTGTAACCGAAAGTGGCTGCGGATGCAGACACATATTTCTTGAGATTCAAAATGGGTCAAGTGCAAAAACACGCATCACGGAATTGAGGAATTGAAAATACGCAAAATGAAAAACTCATGCATCAGAATTCGTGGACATGTGGATCATGCCCAGGTTCCCCAATAAGCAAATATGGATTCTGCTATACCGACTCCTGCAAAGGCAATGATGTCGGGCCCGTGCTTCGTATTGTGTGCTAGCCACTCAACCAAAAATGCCTTGTTCTGCAACATTGTACGGAAGGGTGGATGTGCATCAACATTCAAGAGATTGCCGGTGAGGACGGCCTTGATGAGCTCGTCTGCTTTAGCTGAATGCTTGGTCAGCGAATCTGCCAGGCAATCTTCACTCCGTACCTGTGCAAGGTCATGCATCTGTCCACTGTTGCTTTCGTTTCTCAACATTTGGATCAAATGCATTGTCTCTTTCTGTTCCGGTTGATGTGTTGTGGATGCTGTGGTGACAAGATTTTTCGCATCAGTGCGGATGTGTACATCTGCGATTTCGCCTGTTATGTCTGACCAGAGACCGCGAAGAAATAATGCTGAACCGTAACAACGCATCAGTCCGTGCAATTCTGCAACAGTAGTGGACATGGTTGTGGTGGTGATCTTGTGCGTCTCAGAGTCGACCAAAGAGCCTCTCGAGTTCGATGAGCCCTGGCGAAGATCTCTTTGTTCTGCAAGAAATACACCATGCGCACGTCGGGATGACTTATCTTCATTGTTGCGATAGGATGCATCTGGATAACCAACTATGCGTGTCTTGCCACGAAGGGGCCAGAATCTCATACTAAGCGGAATGCTTTTGATGGTTCTGACTGTCTTATTAATGGCGCGAACGTCCTCAATGGTCGGTGATGATGCCTTGGACGCACATCTGGAGAATTGATAACCAATGTGGAACTGCGTTCGCGATTGTAACCAATTGATGTGACCTAGGACACTTCTGTATGCAGTATGCATTTGTGGAGTAAGAGGAGTGTCGTCCTTCAGGTACTTGTCAAAAGTGATCTCCTGAAGTTCGTCAATGGTGTGGAGTTGGAGGTCTTGGATCAGGCATGGGATGGTCCGGTTGATCAGGTGGCTGCTGCGTGTCAGGTTGTTGAGGTTCATCCGTTGGATCCAATGGATCCGTCTCGATGGGCATCGCCTGATAGCCGGCGCATCTGAGAATGACCGATGAACGGATGAAAACATCACGGCGTGCCAAGTCTGCTGATCAGGCTGCCAGAAGGATATGAACGCATCGTCCGGAGGTGACGTAATTGGCATGTTGATGCCGATGGTGTGGACGTATGCTGCGCATGCATCGTACTGAGTGGATGAGATGCACAATTGTCTCAGCTTCTTGCAACCATTCCAGATGTTCTGACATCGCCAGTCATTAGGATCTTGTTTGAAGATATATGAAGCAGTCCCCGGTGGGTACTGCTTCATCGTCTTCTGAAGCTTTTGGACTAGCGGATCTTGGATGACCAACGGTTGAACGTCCTTGTTGAACGGGAGGTCCTGGATTCTGACCGCAAGACTGCTGCTGGTCATGTTGAACTCCTTGTCAATGGCTTCCATCTCCTTTCTCAGGATGTCAACCTGCTTGATGGTGAATGGTTCGAAAAGGTCCTCCAAGAGGCACACCTCGTTGTCAAGTGGTTTCACCTTCAAGTGTCGTAGGAGGATGTGCGCGAGATCCTGACAGAACTGGTAAGGACACACCCGTGCCAGTTTAGTCCTGCTTCCGAAAGTACCAGCGTTTCCCTCTAGGGGTTGACAGAGTTCTACCGTAGGTAGACGAGTCTTTATTCTGTTCACTTTGTTTCTGTCTTTAATTGGTGTCAATCAAAGTGCACAGCCGTTTTAAGTTGATCAATCAACCCGACGTAGCCATGGTTCAAGGGTGGGTTGGGAGGGATCTCCCCGTTTTTGTTCTTAGCGGACTGTTACTGGAACTTTTGTGACGGGGGGATTTGCCATGGATGCCGATGATGCCTTTGATGAAAGGCGCCTGCTTGTTCAAGACACGACAGGTGCCCTTCCTACAGCAACTGACTTCGAAGGGGCTTTTACAGAAGCGCATGTTCAAAGTTCTCGCTCAGCTCGTCCGAAGCTGCCGTGGGAACGAGGCATCATGGCTACGATTTTCTCTAAACATGCTGGCGTTGAGTTTCCAGAAGTTTTGCAGAATGTCAAACGACAAAGGATTTTGCCTGGGGTTGAAACTGCTGCGGAACAACCAGCTGGCATTTTGCAACAGCAACGAGATGTTCACGAGCCGTTGTATGCAAGGGCAGTTCGACTTCGATCTGGTTGGGAGTGCAATAAACCTGCAATAAACCTGCGCAATAAACCTGTCTATCGACGTTGGATGGTTGTTATTTTGCACAACCCCGAGGGAAGCCAACTTGGCGAACAAATTCGTTTTGCTGACGAGGATGAACAGTTTCAGCTGCTCGAACAGGTTTTTGGTGACCGAGCTACACGCACCTTGCAGAAACGTGTCCTTGCAATTTTGCGGTACATGAAATTTCTTGAAGGGCAAGGTTTTGAAGATGGTTGCAAGTATATTCCATTTCGTGCTGATCACATCACGGTGTTTCTCAGATTCCTAAAGTGGAAGCAATCGCAATCTGGCATGAGAGAGTTTGTGCAAACATTGAATTTTTGCGAGCATGTCGTGGGTCTTGGAGTTGACAGAGACTTTGAGACACCCTGGACGAAAGGACTCCTTCGTGAAGCCGGCCTTGCTAAGAAGAGCCTTAAGCAGTCTCGTCCGCTCACAGTCAAGGAAGTTCTTATTCTTGAGAGGTACGTCTTGAACCCGGACGCATGTATTATTGACAGGTATGGCGCCTGCATGCTTTTCTTGCTATATGGTCGTGGCAGGGTGTCGGACGTTCGAAATGCTGAAGACTTCATTGTGGACCTGCCGGAAGGGGGGCGATGTGGTTTCTTGGAGCGTACCCACGACCATAAAAGCCGGAGGCTCACATTGCAGATGGGAATTCCGCTGATTATTGTGGCTTCTGCTTTTGGTCTTCATGTTGACAGCTGGGGCCACAGGTTTGTTGATGTGTGCAAACAACTAAGTATTGATTTGCGGCATGGTTTTTCAGGTGCATTATTTGTCTCGCCCGATGCGTCAGGAAGTTTGACAAGGAGACCAGTTGGGTCAGATGAGGTAACCAAATGGCTTCACCTGATCTTGAGCAACGAGACCCATGTGGCGGCAGGCCTGAGTTCGCACGGTCTCAAGACAACAACATTGAGTTGGGCCTCGAAGGCAGGCCTCAGTGAAGAGGACCGTCATATCTTGGGCCATCATGCAATGACTGGCAAGAAGTCCATGACGGTGTATTCAAGGGATGTTCAGTCAGCGCCATTGAGGCGTCTGCAGGGCGTAGTAGATGACATTCGGTATGGAAATTTCTTTCCGGACACAACGCGAAGTGGATTGTATGCTACTACATTGCAACCTGCAGGTCATGCGTCTGCTCATGTGACGTGCATCAAGGTCGAGGATTCTGACAATGAGGCACAAAGTACTGCAAGGGACTCAGCTCTTGAGCCTAGCTGTGATGGTGGGTCGTTTGCAGTGGTGTCTTCAATTGTGCCTCCCAGTCAGAGCAAGGGATCGTCTCTTCATCGCCCATTTGATGATGAGATTGACGACGGATTGAGACTTGATACAAGTTTCCCCACTGATGGACCTCTGCGTGACATGTATCCTGATGAATGTGAGGTTCCGGGCACCAGTGTTCTTCCTGAAAGCATGCAACAACTTGACGCACCTGTTGAAGGTAGCGGGGATGGATCCAGTTCCTCGACCTCTACCAGTTCAAGTGATTCCGATTCAGGTCAGTCCTTGGATTCGGTGGCCGATCGGCTCGTTGAGATGCGAGCCAGGGCGTCAGTGCCGGTCATTGAGTGGGGAAGCCATTGCAAAGTGTTTAAGAACAAGAAAACCCGCACCCTTCACCTTTTTCCAAATGGGTCAGATGTTGACAAGTTTCTCTGTGGGAGGAAAGTCACCGATGACTTCCAACCTTTTGAGGGAAGAGTGTACAGCGAGTCTTGGAAGTGCAAGCAGTGCGGGAGTTGTAAACCTCTTAGGGATCGAGGCAGTCTGCTGGCGGCCCTAGAGGTTGGCGCAAAGAGACGCGCGTACTAAATTTTTAATTTTTCTGCCTGATAGATCTCTTGGCCGCTTGAAACATGTGCGTTTGTTTGAACATGGGCAAAGAGCATGTCACACCGCTGGGTGGCATGCGAATTTGCTTAAGAGTGGAGGCCGACCAAGCTTGCATGCAGCACCGCCGGGTTGCATGTTGCTTGGCCGGAGGCTCGAGGCTCAAGTGGCCAAATTGTCCGACACATCTTTCTGTTTCGCGCAAAGAGTCTGCCGTTTATCTTGATGATCTAGTCTTGAGATCATGACACAGTATCTAGTTTGAGGTCATGAAACAGGGTTGTGCGTCTTAGGAGCGAGAGTGATTGCCATGACTTCCATTCTTGAATCCGAAGCTGTCTTCGCTGAGAAGGCTGGCCAATGCGGGCTGGCTCATGACATTACCCAGACCATAACCGGGCAAGGTGTCAGCGCCCTTGCCCAACTGGCTTTTGCTCTGGGAAATCCAGGAGACGCTCCCACCAATGCAAATTTGGCCGGTTTAGTCAATGAACAACCAGGAGATGAAGAACTTAGTCGAGGAGCCAGAGTCGAGTTCTGCCAAGGAACTACCATCTGCGGAACGTGCTGAAAGACTTCGCAACCAGGCGGCTAGGTTGGTGGGAATCAGTCTGGAGGGTGAATCGGAGTGCGGGCATGTTTGTTACAATGCTGTCCTCGACATGCTGGAGAAGAATGCAGTTCAATATCTGCCTCCTTCGAAATTTGTCAGTAGAAAGAGCGAGCTGTCAAATGACAAGTCCAGCAGGGAGATTGTCCTGGATGGGGCCTCCACGCTCAAGGTTCGAGATAAACGACCTGATTTGAGTTGCGATACAAGTTCGGAGCTGTTGCTTGTGCAAGCGCTTCATCGTCGTGCCCTGGCGTTGGACCTGATGAACGCAGTAACTTTCTCTGTCAGCCAGCGATACAACAGTTTTCTCATTGGGCACTTGCAGACTCCGCCACCGCCAGGATACAGGAAACTGAACGTACATCAAATCCTTCAGGCTGACAAGCAGGCATGGCTTCGACTGGCAGAACTCGCGACTGCAGGTTTGAAGAGAAATGCGGCTGGTCAGTTACCGCTCGATGTACTATTTCAGAACTTGCAAGTGGACCCGCGGGTTATGTTCTACCTCTTGCCTCTGCCGGAATCATCAGGTGGCCATGCGGTGGTGGCTGCAGAGTCGACAAAACGTGTGGCTTCGGAGGGTGATCAGCCCTGGAAGCGGCCCAAAGGGAAGGGCAGGGGCAAGAGTAAGTTTGGTCCCTCAAAGGGAACCCCCGAGGCTTTGAAGGACAAGGTGACCTACACCAAATCTGGGAAACCGATCTGTTGGGCGTACAACCTTCCTGGCGGGTGTGCTTCAGCGATTCAAGCAGGGCAATCCTGTAGCAAAGGCCTGCATGTGTGTGCGGAGCCAAAGTGTGGAAAGCCTCACAGTATGCAGCATCATGCTACATCCTGACAGGGTGAGATTGGCGTGAATTTGGGCTCCATGGTGCAAAGCTCGGAGTTTTTGCATGCAGTTTCACAGCGAATTGCTGGCAGGTCTGTGAAAGATCTATATGCCATAGAGGCGTTCTGTGGTACGGGTACCCTCGCGTGCGAGTTGCGCAGGTGTGGGCTTCAGGAGTCCATAGACGTCGATCACATGATGAGCCGCAAATTGCGAGCTCCCGCCATCAAGTTGGACCTGACTCTCCAACGAGATCAGGAAATATTTGATGCCTTTTTGGAAGACGAATGCCTGTGTTACATACACTTCGCACCCCCTTGTGGTACATCCTCGAGGGCTCGCGATATTCGTGTTCGACAAACGCAAAAATCACGTTTTTCATATTGGGGCGATCCTCCACCTTTGCGATCGGCTCGATATCCTGACGGTCTACCATCCGTTTCAGGAAGCTCTTTAAAACGTGTCACCCAAGCTAACCTTTTGTATGCTTGGACGGGACGCACGGTTGCCCAGTGTTTTCGCCGCGGAATATTTACTTCGGTTGAGAATCCGCACCGTTCTCACATGTGGAGCACTTCTCATTGGCAGCAGCCCACTTCACAGTTGCCACAGCTTTCAGTTCTGTTTGACCATTGCATGTACAATGGCACTCGTAAGAAACGCACAAAGTTGGTTCACACCATGCTTTTTTTGCAGCATTTGCAACTTGATTGCGACGGGCAGCACCAGCACGAGAAGTGGGGTTTCTCAAGAAACTCATGTGTCTGGGCGACTTCCCTGGAGACCGCCTACCCAGTGAAGCTCTGTCGAAGTTGGGCAAGTTTGTTTCTTGACCAACTTTTGGAACTCGGGGCTGCACCGTTGCCGCAAGAACTTGCAGCAGTGCCGCAGACTGTGGACTTTGGGCTAAATCAAGCAGCTGTTCACAAACAGCCACGTTCTACACGTATCCCTCCGTTGGTCTCCGAGTTCCGCGATGTAGTAGTTTTGACTGGGCCCGCTGAGCATGTTCCCAAACATCTCAAAGATGAAGGGTGGGTCATTCCAGCCACATTTCAGTGCAGTTTGCCACTCACTTCCCTTCCTGCGGAACACGGCTTCTGCGTGTGCAATTTTTGGCACAGGGGGAAAGCAATTGCGCACTTGCGGACAAGGAGGAGGGAGCAAACCTTTGGGGAGACGCAAGCATGTTTTTACCAGTGCCCGAGCAACAACGAACAGATCCGGGTCGAATGTGCAAAGCTGTGTTTGGCCTACCTGGGCAGCCGGAAGAGTTCGTCGAGCGTGCGGCCTGTTCGCTGCACCCGAAACACTTGGTCAGCGGTCTTCCGACTGAGCTCACTGAGACCATCAGGAAGGTGTGTAGCACACCCGCTGCAGACTTGGCAAAAGATCGAACTGCAACCATGAGAAAGTGGTTGTCCAAAGTCGTTGAGCTGGGCGAAGAGGAGCGGGTTTTGAAAGAGTCGTTGGCCCCGCATGTCTCCGCTCTCATGGCTGCGAAGAGATTAATTTTTTTCGAATACTTGCTGTGCGAATCTGGGCATGGGGACCCTGAACTTTTCAGGGCCATTTGCAACGGTTTTGATTTGGCTGGTCCCATTCCGGCTTCTAACGTGTACAAGAAACGGAAGCGTTTTGCAACGTTGCGGACTGCTGATCTTAGATCCTCTGCGAAGCGGATTCGGACTGGTATTATCCATAGTGTCCGATCCAGTGGAGACTTGGAGATGGACAACGCTTTGTATGAGGTGACGCAGGAGGAGCTTCGGACAGGCTGGCTCCATGGGCCGTATCGGCCGAGTGACTTGTCGGAGTCTGCCACAGTCACTCGGCGCTTTGCCGTGCGACAGAATAACAAAATCCGACCAATTGATGACTACACCGAGTCCCTTGTCAACAGCACCAGCGCTTCTGGTGAGACCATCACTTTGCATGGTGTGGAAACAATTTGTGCCACGTCTGCTCTGATGATGAGGCATCTCAAGACGGCTGGAGCATCAACTGGTTTGTCGGTGAAAACGTGGGACTTACACAAAGCGTATAAGCAGCTGTGCCTATCTCCAGAAGCTTTGCAAGATAGTTTCCTGGCGGTCTGGTGTCCAGACAAGAAGGCTTCTGAGATTTACGGGCAATACGTTTTGCCTTTTGGGGCGTGTGCTTCAGTTCATGGATTTTGCCGCACTTCATATGCAATCTGGCGAATTGCGGTTACTCTTTTGCTGGTTGTCTGGACGACGTATTTTGACGATTATGTTTCAATGTGTCCCTGCTGAATCAAAGCATTTGGACATGATACTCAGAATGTATTTCAATATCATTGGGTGGGCCATCTCTGATGACAAGGATGTCAGCTTTTCCTCGGAGGCCAAGGTCCTCGGCCTCGTGTTGGACTTGAGTGGCTCCCCCGATGGTTTCTGTTTTGTGCCAAACACGCCTTCTCGCAAAACTGAATTGGAGCAAACAATCAATGATGTGCTGGAAAGAGGATGGAAGGCTCTTGTTTGCTGAGAGCCAAGTCTTTGGACGGCGAGCTACCCAGGCAATGAGGGCGCTCTCGGGGCACATACATGCATCTAGAACTGCGTCCTTTTCAGATCAGGTGCGAAAGCTTTGATCATCCTGCGGGACAAGGTGGTCCTGGGTAATCCTAGAAAAGTGGATGCAAGGCTTATCGAGACTGTTCACATCTATGTTGACGCCTCGTTGACGCCTCGTTTGAGGAGTCTTCTGAGAGGCCTGGTGGACTGGGAGGTGTCCTTGTCCACCCAACGACTGGTGTGCGCGAGTTCTTCAGCATCGCTATGACGCACGAAGATGCGGCGAAGTGGAACGTGACTGAAAGCTTGAATCCAATTTTTCTATTTGAAGCTCTTGTTGTTTACATTGAACTGCAAACTTGGGCTGATGCAATCCGGGGTAAACATGTGGTGCTGTTCTCGGACAACATGGGAGTTGTGGGTGCCTTTGTCAAGTGTTCTAGCAGCAACCACTTTGGCGACCACATCATTCAGCATACTTGCAAACTGGAAGAGTCATTGCAATGCTATGTGTGGTACGAACGAGTGAACACGGCGTCAAACATTAGTGATGCTCCTTCGAGATTTGATTTCGACACCCTCAACCTGGGAGTCCGACAATTTCCTTGTCTGGCCCAGTTTTGGGAACTCCTCGGCATGGAAAGTTTGACAAGGGGGAAAATCGGACCATGCCAAGTCGTTTGAGGACTTGGGTAGGGCAATGCTGAAATTGCCCGGTGGTTCGATGTGCCGCTGCTGTAAGTAGCACCGATTACCCCCAGGTCACTGCAGAGCAGGAAAACAGATATGAATCATTATGAATGATGAATATATGGACTTTTAAGAGGAGTCTATAGATGATGTTTTGTACACGGTTAGCAACAAGCTTGTGCAGTCATGGACATGTGCTTTGAGTGTGTGCCTAAGTTATGGAGTGCCACCTTCTCTAAGGGTGCCCCCCTTAGGACCTTCCTACGCCTTGACTTTTGGGGTAGGACGGCCTTGTGGTCCACAGACCGCTGCCATGAGGATTCATCAGGTGCTTGCTCCTTGATGATCTCCATGACCGTGTGTCGTCCCTTGGATGTCATTGCGTCGAATCCGGTGCGGATGTCTACGGGAGTCCCAACTGTAACACCTGAGAGTGCGCAGCATTGACTGAATCTGGCACTTCCTGCAAAGATCTCGAGAACGTGGATCTTTCCTTTACGTACACAATTCCAATGTGCTTGTTCAGGAACGGATGTGAGGTCCTCGACGAACATGTTCTCTGCCGGATGAGGTGTTGCAGGCTTGGGAGTTGTCTTTCCCGCGATGCGTAATGGCACTGAGGATTTTGGCTTAGGAGCTGAGCCATATTCCTCCCTTGCTTCCATCAGAACGGATCTTGGATTTGTCTTCCTGCCAGTAAAATACCTTGTCCTTCGCCTGAAGAGGCTTAGAACTCATTCGGAGATTTTGGGCAAGGTCTCGTCGGATGTCTTCGGATTGACGTGCTTCTTGGAATGCTTGCTTAGACAGCTGCTTGATCTGGATGGCTGTCATCTCCTCCTCATTCCTGTCAATCGTCAACTGAGTTGGTGTTGCGACATCGAGTTGGGTGAGATCTGCTGGTCGTCGTCCGAATGCGAGCTCCAGTGGTGTTACACCCCCGTAGGTGACAGTCCGATTCCTGACAGTTGCAGCTGCCTTCACCAGCTGTCTATATGTCACTTTCTTCAGTGTTGCAGGTGCTGTGCCTGCCTTGATGGAACTTAGCATGATCTTGAGTTGTGCCTTCAGGAGTCGAACTGCAGCTTCAGCTCGGTTTGGCCATGGTGTGTTCGGTCCCAAGGATATCGGTGTGATGTCAAGGGACTGGTAAAAATGTTCCCATGTCTCTGTCGTGAAGGCTTGATCTGCGACAACTGATTTGGGTCAAAATAGTTCCTGAGGACAGTGATGTTCTCGACTTCTTGCGTAGTTGTCACTGCCTCTGCAGTGAGCAATGTTGTTGCTCCATCCAGGATGACAAAAACAATGATGTGTTCTCCTGTTCCAAGAGGAACTTGACAGTGATCAATGAATGTCATGTCACCAAAGGTGTCCGCTCGAAGCCCACTCGTCTTGCTTCGTGATGGTGCATGTTTTGCCGCTTGGCAAACTTCACATTCACTTCGGATTTTGTCAAATAGATCGAATGTTGATTTCGGCAAATGAAGTGAGCGAGTTCTAAATCGAAATTGATCTGTTGTCACGTGATGATGCTGGAGGTGGAGCTTCTTCAACTCTTCGGAATTTGACAATCGCTTGTGGATTCTGCCTAGTGCAAGCGGAAGCGTTGTTGGTTCTTCTGAGGATGGTGCGAAAGGATCTGGCTCAATGGTCGACCGGCCCTTCTTGTCGATGATCCTGTCTGCTGCCGACCCTTGAACCTGCTTCTTCGTCCTTAAGCGAAGTGTCCGCGAAGGTGAAAATGGTCTTACCTATCCACAGGTTAATCATCGGTTTGTTTGCCTGGGATGTAAGTCTCCAATTGTCTTCGAGGATGTCTGGATCTCCACCTTCGGATGCATCAATGATTTCCGTAGTACGCTCTCGGCTGATGTTATCAGAATTGATTGGACATTCCTTGGCTCCATTTGGTGTGAACAGCGCCTTGCGAGGTGTGATGTACACACGGATGAGCTGCTTGTTCTTCTTATCAAGGATCCAACGGTCCTGCTTTTGAGGCCCAATGATTTTTGGATTTGCTAGGTCCTCCTTCGTCTTGGATGCACAAACAGTTTCACTCTTGGAGATATTCCCGGAGGGAAACCGGATGCTGTTGTCATCATCGTAGACGTAGTTGGTGAGGCCCTTGATGGCAATTTCTCCATGTGATTTCACTCTTGCAACTCCAGCGAGGTCGACGAGTGCATGTCCTGTACCGGATACTGGAACTGCTTGACGGTTCATGCCAACGGCCTTGCGTGTGATCTTGTCACATTGAGGTGTGTGCTCGATGGTCATGTAGAGGTTCCGCATCTGACTGATGCTGAGGAGGATCGGCGTTGTCTGATATCGGAGATGCAAGGTCCAATTTACCTTGGCTGTTTCTCTGCTTGCAAAAGTGAACTTGGTCTCGGCCGGGATGTACTGATAGGAGATGAGGTCTTTCATGGGTTCGATGGCCTGAGTAAAACGCTGGATTGCATGCCAGCTGCCCATAGATCTGGTACATCCATTGTCCAGAATTGCATAGGTCGGATTGTGCTGAGGGTTGATGACAGGCGCCATCAGCTTGGTTGCCAAAAGGCTGTGATCTGTTGTGACGGGCAAATTGTGTTCTGAAACTGCATCTGATTGGATCAGCTTCCCGTGGATGGCCTCTTTCTCATGATGCTCATATGCGTCATGGAATGCCATTAGCTCTTGTCCTGTGCTGGATGTCTCATGGGATGAGTGCCAGCCTTGTTCGTTCCATGTCCATGATTGATCCCAATCTTGGTCTGTCCAACCGGCGTATGTAGGCTCTGTGGATGGTGCAGTCTGCTGGATGGCGGGCTGCTCCTCTGTCTTCTCTGTGATGGCTGCGAACGTCTTGGATTTTCCTTTGTCATGTCCGCCCTTTCCTTTGCCATTCTCATAGGATGGATAACCCTTATTTCCATCATAGGGATATTGGAATTTTGATTTTCCTTTCTTCCCCTTCTTTCCTTTGCCTTTTCCCCACTATGCCTGGTCGTAGGGATCATAGTTTTCGTTGGCCATATTGGCCTTTCCGCCAGAACCGCTTTTTCTGAAGGGTTTAAAGCCACCTCGTTGGTGACTGCCCTTTTTGTTTCCTGATTTTCCTTTTCCTTTGTTCTTCTTGAATTTGAAGTTCCGCCCCGACACATTTCTTGCTATGAACGCATCGTTCTCCTCGAGGACCCAGAACGTCTCTTCATCGTTGTTTGACATGAATCCTTCAATTCCTTCTTCATCCTCAACCCAAAAGCCTTCTTCTCCTTCGTATTCACTTTGTTCGCTGATGAAGAAGGTTGCTTCGGTTGCCTGGATTGATGGATCTTGAATGGATGTCCGGGTCGTGATGAAGAGCTCATGGTAATGCGTCTTCAGCATCTCATAGGAGTAGTTCTCTAGTGAAATGTTTCTCAGTGACATTGCACTGGTCAGTCTTTCTCTCTGCTGATCTGACAATTCACTCTGTGTGATGAAAAACTGCGCAATGAGATTATCCCCGAAAAAAATGCGTCCCGCTGTCTGTCCTGCATTCCCGTGATATATTGTCTGAGGACTGTTGGATCACCCTCATCGAGCAGGACTGGAGGCGGTACTCGAGTACCAGCTGCTTGCTGATGTCCAGCAATTGTTCTTGCATTTGCGTCCTGTACGGACTGTCGAAATGATGGAGACTGTGCCGTGAAAACGGGCATCAAGTCCATCCATGCTGCCTTCAATCTCATGAGAAGGATTTCGAATTTTGAGGTAAAAATGAGGAACTCTTGGTTCTGCCTTCGATGATTGAAGAAACTGAGGAGCCTGTACAGACACACGTTGGTCGCACCTTTCAAAAAGTACTTCTTCAGCGTGTTCTTGAAGTAGTTGACTCCTTCATCAGGATCTTGCAGAAGGTCATTTTGGAGGACTGCCTTATACACATATGCATCTCGCGTGAGTCTCACCCAGTCGTCCACGAGTTCTTCATACCTGGACCAGCTGACTTTTCCGTCGTACGATGGCGGCTGCTTGGCGGTCATCGATAAATTGAGTGTTTCCTCCGTATGGCCTGATGGTTTGGCCATACTTGAATAGGCTTCCATGAAGCCTTCTCCATCGGATGACATCTTCCCTTGGATCTCTGCAAAGCCCGCTCCGCTACCACAAATTGAGGCCCACCGGGGGTGCCTATCCCAGAAGGGAACTGGTACCCTGTGGTAGTAGAGGTCATTTGGTCCCTGGATCTATTCCGGAGAGAGTCCAAAATGGAGGATTGGAGGATGGATTGTCCCTGGTGGCTTGTGTTGACTGTGATTCCTGTAAAGCGGTCTGCAAGCCTTTTTATCAATGTACCATGAGTCGAATGACTGTACAAATGACTTGAAGGGCCTTGAGCCATCATGTCAGCGGAGTGTGTGAATAGGTCAATGTGCAGCAAAAAGCAACACACACACACACCCTCCCCACCCGCCAGGATCCCCGGCCCCAAACCAACCCTAAATCAACCTTAAACCAACCCTAAGCCAACCCAAGCCAACACCCACCTAAACCCACTGTAAACCAACCTTAACCAACCCGAAACCAACCCTATACCCACCCTACACCAACCAAAAACAAACCCAAGCCACACCCCAACCACCCATCCAACCACCCAACCCCACTCCCCCCCCACCCCACCACAGGGGGGGAGGGGGGGGTCCATGGCAATTTTCACCAGGCTGAGAACGGTTTTCTGAACGTCCCGTTTCCTTCTTCCTTTTGCGTTTCGAGGAGAGTACTCCTGGGATGGCCGGCGCTTGTGGAAGACGGAGGCCGCGGCGGCGGCACCCAGCTCAATTCGAGGCCAACGAAGCGCGTTCCAAGTTACGAAAGATTCGGAATCCTTCGAAAGATCCTTCAGAGAGCAGAGTCGCAAAAGAGGGTCGATCCCGTACTTTGGGGCCGTAAAGGTGTCTTCAGGATCGTCCTATTTTGGGTCGGCGAAAGGTTCTGATGCCCAGATCTGCTGGCTTCCCAATTGTGCCCCAACAACGAAGGCCACGAGTCAGCCAATTCTGGGCTTGAGGTCGGCCGCAGGAGTGTCCAGGCTTCATCTAAGGCGAATCACATTTGCCTGATAGGGGGACCATTGTGTTTATTTTGAAAGGTTCTGGTTCACCGAGAGGAATGCGAGGGACCTGAATACCAAATGGAGATGGAGGCGCTACCTTTTTTTGGCGGCTGCCAGGGGACTGGGCAATTTTCATTCAGGCTGTGTGTCGCTTCCCTTGGAATTGTACGTCAGAGAATCAATGAAGCAGGGACCGGGGATCAGTCACCAGCCAAACAAGAATCTGCCCCTGTCGCAGTCCCACCTCTTTGTGTGCCCAACTATCCTGTTTGCTACCATTTGTTTATACTACTTTGTTTGCCCAGGTAAAGAGAATCCATGTGCAACACCTTCACTGAGGCTCAGGGAGGTCCACCGTTTTGGTCAGGCAGGCAGGTCTTCTTGCACCTCTGGTTCGGGGTTTTGCTAATTTGCATGCCCCTCAAGGGATTCTGTCATTCACATTCCTGATTCCTTTGCAAACCTGAAGCTGCCCAGGAAAGGATTGCTCAAAGTTTGGGGAAGCTGAACGATGTGAGAAGGCATGTACCTTGTCAAGATCACTAGCGCCGCTACCAGCGACTTCTTCGGCTTCGGGCCTTCACCCGAAACAGTGTGACGCGGGTAAGCTGGGATGAAAAGACGGGTTGGCCGTCACCCGAGGTTCGTCTCTTCTCGAAGAAGGGCATTCTCGAGCCCTGGCGACTGGCGCGGCACCCTGGAGCAGTGAAAATTCATGGCCATATGGGAAGAGGCCCGTCATTGGATGTACACATGCTGTTTTAATTCCGTCTCCCAATCTCTTGGTTTCTCTCTAGCATCGGCAAGAGATGCACACATGTGAGGAATACCTGGGGCACGTATGGACCCTCAAGTCGAATAGTGAGGCAGAGACATGGACATGTCGTCTCAAACCTGATTGAAATGGAGCTTGAAAATTGCAAATGCCTTTCGCTTCTTGGCCGAGATCAACATCTTGCAGACCGTGATCTGCGGCACCTGGTGCTTCCTGCTGTTGTGCATGGTGGCAGCTGTGCAGCAAGCAGATTGCCGGAGACATGCCAACTATGCGGCCAGAGTTTGCCATGTCTCGTTTGGCAAAAGTTACGGCGAAAGTGTTTTACTTGCAAGGACTACTCTCTTCTGGGTTTGGTGCCGTGAAACTGTGTTTGGTCAAAGAGATCAGAAGAGTTTTGCACTGCTTCCGGATCTTTCGACAAACGGTTTTGCAGATCGCAAAGAGCGCACTACGCGTCAACCCGCCGACTGAGCAAGCCGACTCAGCAAGCCACACTCATTTGCCACTGACCGACTTGCCTCACTGCCTTTGTTCATTTTGATTGCGCGCTTTTTTCCCTTTTGATTTGTAGCATTGATGTTAGAGGGGACAGCATGTTGGACGAAATCCTACCTACTTTCACTTACAAACACCCTTGCGCTCCCCTATGAACATTCGAAGTTTAGGTCCCTTGGTTGCACACATGTTGCGCTGAACGAGATCTTGCGCCACCTTTTGTGACCGCCAACAGCATTGAAAAGGGAAAGGGTGAGCGGGGCGCGCCGCTGTTCAGGGCAAAATGGAGTTGGGAGAGGCGGTGCGATTTCGTCCGTGAACCAACTGCACTGTAAGCGCTGAGTACGGTGGAAAACACTCTGAACTGAACACTGCCAAGCTCTTTCATACGTCCAGAAGCAGTGTTCAAGCTGCTAGCAACTGAAGCTTCTCTTGAATATGCAAGTTGCACTACTTTCCGGGTTGTGTGCGTCGTTCGCTTGGTGAATAGCCACCAAACGCATGCAAATGAGCCAAAGCTGACAAAATGAGAGAGCCAACGTGGCAAATCCTGCACTGCATTCGCTATGGTTGCCTGGTTTACAAGAAACCAATGGAAGTTTAGGGCCTTTGGTTGCAAACCTGTAGGACTGACCAACATCCTGCAATTGCCAACAACAAACAACATTAACAAGGGTGAGCGGGGCACGCCGCTGTTCAGAGGCAAAATGGAGTTGGGAGAGGCGGTGCAGGATTTCGTTTGTAACCATACGGGGAACCCAATGAATGTTGGTGGGTGGAACCCTCCTGGAATGGAAAGGAAAAAGGAAACGGAAAGGAACCCAACAGGGGTTCTAAAAACTTGTATCCTTGTGCGCATTGGTCACAGCTTCACCAATTGCTCTTTGTGGTTACGGAAGTAAGGGAGGCTCAACTCCATGCTTCTCAACCGGCAGTGGTACTAGGTGTAATACGGTGTAATACCTCAAAGTGTACGGATTCTTCCCAAGCAATTCCAAAGGGCTCGGAGTTCCGGAGTTTTTCAGCAACGACTTCCTGGAAGCCCTCTGTTGACTTCTGTGGGCACGTTACTTTGTGGCACATCATTTGCATGCTTCAGCTGAAGTTTTCAGCCAGGTGACTGACCAGCCAGCCCCGTTTCGACCAATTGTTTTATCTTATCCAGTCAGTTCAAGATTGCTTGTCAAGAGAAAGCAGCACATGTCAGCGAACCTGAAAACATGTCGCTCTAGCCAAAGTAAACAAGCATGCACATGACAATCCTCGCGGTGATTGGGCTAAGGATAAGGATGATCCTGCTTCATCTGCCAGTTCTTTTTTTTGCAATTTGCTCTCTTTGCTGCTTTGGTGAAGTAAACGCGCCAGGCTGTCATGTTGCAAAGGTCGTCTTTTTCCTGCCGAGCCAAACTCTTCTTCGTGACTGCAAAATCCCTTGTTTACTTGGTGCGAACCCGCACTCGGAAGGCCCTGATATTCCCAAAGATGAGCACTTCATATGGGCAAAGGGGCCATCCGATTGAAAATGCCGAGAGCGTTTTGTTTTTTTCTCCCAGGTGGACGTGTTCTTGGGTGACCAGGCCTTGGTCACTGCGCCCCACTGGTCGCGCCCCCCGATGTCGCGCCTGTCCCTGGAGCCGCACGAGCTGGGCACGCCCCTGGGCTTCCCCTGGTACGCAGGCGGATCGGATGGATCGGATGCGTGGAAGGAAGGGAAAGGGAAGGGGTTGAAGGTCAATACACCCTGGGCTGGAAGTCGACAAACAAAGATCCACATACCGCTGAATTGCAGGAGCTTGCAGGAAAGCCGCGGGGTCTGGGTGGGAACTGTTTTAGAGTTGGTTCGCGCAGTCTCACTCTGCGGAGGAGTCAGCAAAGCTCCAGCCAGCCGTTCCAGCCGAGCAGAGGAATACCACCGCAACTCCGACAGAATTCCATTTATTGAGTGGTTGTCGTTTCACGCCTGGGAAGCAAGTGCGTGTATAACACATCCGATTCTGTGCCTCACCAACACCGGGCTTGAAGCCTCAGATGGGACGGACCTAAGAAAAGATAGGCGCCGCTGGGACCGCCTCGCTGAAGTGAAGATATTTTAGGCAACGGACAGATCTCGGGCAAAGAGCTTGTTACCCTCTTGGCCGACCCAAAATGCCGTCCCGGAAAGGTATACTTGTGCGTGCAAGTTCTGCAAGTTCTGCAAGTTCTGGAACGAAGAACCAATTTCTGGAACGGACACGGTTTGAACGCACGAACCAATTTCAGACAGGCGCCTTCCGACAAGTCAACCCACTCGACATTTGCTTCTGGTGCCGAGTTCGGCGAATATGAGAAAATGCTTCTGCCATGCTCCCTCTTGGGCCCCAGCGCACAGGTGCCAAGCCATGGATTCCTGAGCAGATGGCCTGGCATGAGGACTGAAACGGGTTCAAATACATCGTGGCCTATTCCACGGGAGTTCCCCTGGGAGGGAAATAGCCTGACACACCGCAAAAGCGATGAGACCAGGGTTTGCCTTTGCGCTTCCTCACATTGAAGGGACCCCTATAGGCGGACAAACACCCTCTTCAAGGGGTCTATTTTACAGGGTCACAAGAGGAACCCTGGGCGGCCCCCCCTCAAAGAAAAGCATGCGCACAGGCTCACTTGCCAGCCGCTGCAGCCTCAACAGGGTGACAGCTTTTCCGTGGCACAACTCTCCAACTTCATATTCGTAGCAAGGGAAGGAGTTGGAGAAGAGGCATGGACATGGGACATCATGCAGAGTTCTGTATGGAACATCTTAAGAAGTCAAGACAAGAGTAGTGGAGGCAGGAGTCACACCCTTCCAGAAGTACGAAGCCACGCAAGAGCGCTAAAAACAGCACAGACTGGACCGGCAGCCCTTGCAACACAAGCAGATGGTCACCGCATTTTCAAAATTACATTGTTTCTTTTTTGCATCACCTGCTCTATGTCATCCAAAGTGCAAAGCGCCACGTATTATATCTTGTTGGAAGCACATGTGTTGGGCGTCTTGGAATGCTTTGGGTCTCTGGCATGTTGGGCATGTCGGGCTTGTCAGGCTTGTCGGGCTTGTCGGGCATGTTGCTTTGCATCGTGTTTTCAGGTTGGGTGCGTTCAGGATCCGGCGTTCGGGTGACTCGCAGGAGAAGCGCGAGGCCACCAGCGGCTTCATCAGCGCTCCTCACTCCGGCGGGGTCGGGTTCTGACTCGATCGAATTGGTTTTTCACATGACTCGATTTCGGGATTTCGGGATGTCGGAATTTCGGAATTTCGGGTGATTCAAACATGATTCAAGGTTGACCTTGGTTGTTTTGTTTCCAGGTCCTTTTACGCAAGTGAGGAAGGCGTGGTGCAGTGCAAGGTTGTGCCTTTTGCCCACCCGCGAGTCCTGGCTCTAGTAAACCTTAAGCGACATCCGATTTCCCTCCACCACACAGCTTCAATCTTCCCTGCTACTGCCACTGCTACTGCTACTATTACAACCACTGCTGCTACTATTGCTACCAGTACTATGCTACTCCTCCTATTAAAAACTGCTCTACCTACAACTTTGCATTACCTCTGGCACAGTGAAGAAGCATTTGCGCGTATGAAGCTGCGAAATGCAAGTTTTGGAAAACCTTCAGGAACGGTAGGGTCAACGCAGAAATCGAGCACTGCTACCCGATGTCCGCAGGCTATACAGGAGGTTTGGCACCTCAATCTATCCGCAGGCTATTGCACCTCGGTCCCCTTCTTTTCGCTAACAGACGCTGGACATCGAGATGCAGGGATTTCACTCACCCTGCAGTGAGCCGCGATCACAAGACGTATGGCAAGACGCGAAGACGACTGCAATTTAAGAAGCTGACCACGCTCCTGGGAATGTTTCAGGAAGGTAGCCACTCTGGTAGTGTTTGGTCAACTTCCTGGAGAATTGTTGGAGGTGGCTTCGGAGATGCAAAAACTTATTGAAGCGTTTCTTTTGGGTTGAAGGGTCCCTGATCATTTCAATTGGCTCCTGACACCTTGGGCGCGGTTTGCGCCAGCTGAAAACTGGCCGGCCGAGCCGTCAGGATCCCACGAGGGAGGCGGTGGGCACAGCGCACTCCACAAGGGATCTGCCCGGCGCCTGAGCCCGGCACCCCAGGGCCTCTGTGTTTCAGAAACAATATCGATGAATATCGATGAATATAGATTAACTCTGACTCTTGTATCGGCTTCAAGGGCTGTCAAATGCGCCCATGATCTTGATTCCTGGCGGTTATCAAAGTCTGCTAGAAAACCTTTTCCCCGGGATTCAACTATCACTTCGGCAACTACCACTTCGGTGACTTTGAGCATTGGGGTCGAGTCAGACCCTTGGCTCTGTGCTTGTTTCTCATCGCCCAGCTGTTGTTTGCCAGGTGATTTGGGCAGGCTGGGAGCTGAAGCCAGCCAGTTCTCGCAACAGGAAGACACTCCCAGTGAAACACGAGAAGGGATTTTATTTGCACGCTGGCTTTCGTAGAGACAATGCACCAAATGCTTACAATTCTGACTGAATCCATGTGGCTAATGTTTTGATCAATCCATCGCGTTGCTGCATTGTCCGTTGACTTGTTCATTTGTTCAACGCTTCTCCAATCACCCACTCATCCATCGAGCCATCCATTCATGTAAGTGTGCTCGTTTGTAAACATATTAACCCCGCCGGCTCAGGCCGCCGACGCTACCGGCCTGCTTTCTTATTTGTCCCCTTGCCCCCCTTCCCCTCTAAGATCTTTCCCCCCCCTCCCCCCCGAAGATCTTCTCCCTTTTCCTCCCTAAGATCTTTTCCCCCCTTTCCCTGTTGAGACCCTTTCCCCCCTTTCCCCCCTAAGGCCTTTTTCCCCCCTAAGACCTTTTTCCCCCCTAAAATATGTTCCCCCCTTTCCCTGTTGAAACCTTTTCCCCCCTTTCCCCCTAAGGACTTTTCCTGAGATCTTCTCCCTTTACCAGCATGGGCAACATCCCAAGCATCACTTGCATAATCCGCATCTTTGGCAGGCGCTGATGCTGATGATGCAGGTGATGCTGGCGATGTTGCCCTGCTAAGAATGCAAAACTGGGGGTCGAACACCCAATGTTTTCAGGCAACTGTGTCCCGCACAGCCCCCCCCTGTGTTTGGTGTGTTACACAGTTGATCTCCCGCAGCCATTTGGCTCAAGGCCCTTTTCTGTATCATAGCAACACTCATGGTTACGTGACAAGGGAACCTTTGCAGGCCGCTTACAGGATTATACAACAATACAATCCACCAGGGACAATCCATCCTCCAATCATCCACATTGGCATAAATAGATCCAGGGACCTAAACAACGACTTCTACTACCACACGGGTACCAGTTCCCTTCTGGGATAGGTATTTCGGCAGTGGGCCTCAGAGCGGGTTTTGCGCAGAGATCCAAGGCAAGATGTCATCCGATGGAGAAGGCTTCATGGAAGCCTTTTCAAGTATGGCCAAGCCACAAGGCTATACGGAGGAAACTCTCAATTTATCGATGACCGCCAAGCAGCCGCCCTCGTACGACGGAAAAGTCAGCTGGTTCAGGTGTGAAGAACTCGTGGACGACTGGGTGACAATCACAACAGTGGAAGCACCCAAGAGAGGACCTCTGCTCAAAAGCAGACTCACGGGAGATGCATATATGTATAAGGCAGTCCTCCAAAATGACCTTCTGCAAGATCCTGATGAAGGAGTCAACTACTTCAAGAACACGCTGAAGAAGTACTTTTTGAAAGGTGCGACCAACGTGTATCTGTACAGGCTCCTCAGTTTCTTCAATCATCAAAGGCAGAACCAAGAGTTCCTCATTTTTACCTCAAAATTCGAAATCCTTCTCATGAGATTGAAGGCAGCATGGATGGACTGGATGCCCGTTTTCACGGCACAGTCTCCATCAGTTCGACAGTCCGTACAGGACGCAAATGCAAGAACAATTGCTGGACATCAGCAAGCAGCCGGTGTTCGAGCACCGCCTCCAGCCCTGCTCAATGAGGAAGATCCAACAGTCCTCAGACAATATATCACAGGAATGCAGGACAGACAGCGGGACGCATTTCCCTTCTCATTGCACAGTTTTTCATCATTTAGAGTGAATTGTCAGATCAGCAAAGAGAAAGACTGACAAGTGCAATGTCATTGAGAAACATCTCACTAGAGAACTACTCCTATGAGATGCTGAAGACTCATTACCATGAACTCTTCATCACCACCAGGACATCCATTCAAGATCCATCCATCCGACCTCAGGGAGGTAACCGAAGCAACACCTTCTTCATCATCGAGCAAGGTGAATATGAAGGAGAAGAAGGCTTTTGGGTTGAGGATGAAGAAGGAATTGAAGGATTCATGTCAAACAACGATGAAGAGACGTTCTGGGTCCTCGAGGAGAACGATGCGTTCATAGCAAGAAATGTGTCGGGGCGGAACTTCAAATTCAAGAAGAACAAAGGAAAAGGAAAATCAGGAAACAAAAAAGGGCAGTCACCAACGAGGTGGCTTTAAACCCTTCAGAAAAAGCGGTTCTGGCGGAAAGGCCAATATGGCCAACGAAAACTATGATCCCTACGACCAGGCATATTGGGGAAAAGGCAAAGGAAAGAAGGGGAAGAAAGGAAAATCAAAATTCCAATATCGCTATGATGGAAACAAAGGTTATCCATCCTATGAGAATGGCAAAGGAAAGAGCAGACATGAAAAAGGGAAATCCAAGACGTTCGCAGCCACCGCAGAGAAGACGGAGGAGCAGCCCGCCATCCAGCAGACTGCACCATCCATACAGCCTACCTATGCCGGTTGGACAGACCAAGACTGGGATCAATCATGGACATGGAACAAACATGGCTGGTACTCATCCTATGAGACATCCAGCACAGGACAAGCGCTACTGGCACTCCATGATGCATATGAGCATCATGAGAAAAAGGCCATCCACGGGAAGCTGATCCAATCAGATACAGTTTCAGAACACAATCTGTCCGTCGCAACAAATCACAGCCTTCTGGCAACAAAGCTGATGGCGCCTGTCATCAACCTTCAGCACAATCCGACCTATGCGATTCTGGACAATGGATGTACCAGATCTATGGGCAGCTGGCATGCCATCCAGCGTTTTACTCAGGCCATCGAACCAATGAAGGACATCATCTCATATCAGTACATCCCGGCCGAGACCAAGTTCACTTTTGCCAAACGGAGAGACCGCCAGGGTAAATTGGACCCTGCATCTTGGATATCACACAACTCCTCTATGCAGTACCAACATCGACGTCCTTGAACAAGGAACTGTACCGATCCTCCGCACCAGTCAGATGCGGAACCTCTACATGACCATCGAGCACACCGACAAGCAGTTCCAGTATCCGGTACAGGACACGCACTCGTCGACCTAGCTGGAGTTGCAAGAGTGAAGGCACATGGAGAAATTGCTCACAAAGGCCTCACCAACTATGTCTATGATGATGACAACAGCATAAAGTTTCCCTCCGGGGATCTCACCAAGAGTGAAACTGTTTGTGCAGCAAAATCATCCGAGACAAAGAAGGACCTAGCAACTCCTAAAATCATTGGGTCTCAAAAGCAGGACCATTGGACCCTTGACAAGAAGAACAAACAGCTCATTCGTGTGCGCATCACGCCCCGAAAGGCGCTGTTCACAGCAAATGGAGCCAAGGAGTGTCCAATCAATCCTGATAACATTAGCCGAGAGCGTACTACGGAAATCATTGATGCATCCGTAGGTGGAGATCCAGACATCCTAGAAGACAATTGGAGACTTACATCCCAGGCAAATAAACCGATGATTAACCTGTGGATAGGTAAGACCATTTTCACCTTCGCGGACAATTCGCTTAAGGACGAAGAAGCAGGTTCAGGATCGGCAGCAGACAGGATCATCGACAAGAAGGGCCGGTCGACCATTGAGCCAGATCTTTTCGCACCATCCTCAGAAGAACCAACATCGCTTCCGCTTGCCCTAGGCAGAATCCACAAGCGATTGTCAAATCCCGAAGAGTTGAAGAAGCTCCACCTCCAGCATCATCACATGACAACAGATCAATTTCGATTTAGAACTCGCGCACTTCATTTGCCGAAATCAACATTCGATCTATTTGACAAAATCCGAAGCCAAGCGGCAAAACATGCACCATCACGAAGCAAGACGAGTGGACTTCGAGCGGACACCTTTGGTGACATGACATTCATTGATCACTGTCAAGTTCCTCTTGGAACAGGAGAACACATCATTGTTCTTGTCATCCTGGGTGGAGCAACAACATTGCTCACTGCAGAGGCAGTGACAACTACGCAAGAAGTCGAGAACATCACTGTCCTCAGGAACTATGTTGACAGCCTTCATGACAGAGACATGGGAACAGTTCTATCAGTCCCTTTGACATCACACCGATATCCTTGAGACACCATGGCCAAATCGAGCTGAAGCAGCAGTTCGACTCCTGGAGGCGCAACTCAAGACCATGCTAAGTTCCATCAAGGCAGGAACAGCACCTGCAACACTGAAGAAAGTGACATATAGACAGCTGGCGAAGGCCGCTGCAACTGTCAGGAATCAGACTGTCACCTACGGGGGTGTAACACCATTGGAGCTCGCATTCGGAAGACGACCGGCAGATCTCATCCAACTCGATGTCGCAACACCAACTCAGTTGACGATTGACAGGAATGAAGAAGAGCTGACAGCCATCCAGATCAAGCAGCTGTCTAAGCAAGCATTCCAAGAAGCGCGTCAATCCGAAGACATCCGACGAGACCTTGCTCAAAACCTCCGAATGAGTTCTAAGCCTCTTCAGGTGAAGGACGAGGTATTCTATTGGCAGGAAGACAAATCCAAGATCCGTTCCGATGGAAGCAAGGGAGGAATATGGCTGAAAGGAAAAGTCATTTCCATTGAAGGAGCAATGGTAGGACTTGATCTTGGGACCCGACTCATCAAGGTTAACATGACGAAGGTCAGGAAGGATGAAACCATTTCTCCGGAGAAACCTGGAATTGACCTTCTATTGCCAGAAGAGCGAGAATCCTTGCAGAAGGAGCAACCAGGCTCCTCTGCAGACGCCAAGAAAAAGGAGTCATCCACACCAGCTCCTAAG